GATTTAGCTCAGTGGTTTCCCGCCTGCCTCGTAAGTGCAAGGACTGGAGTTGGATCCCCGGTACGAAAAAAAAAAAAAAAAAAGAAGAAGGAAAGCAAGTAATTAATATTTCATAGGACACTTGAAGGAATAAACAGGTGAAAGCAATACCAATAAATCTGAGCCCTGAAACTTATTCTGGAAATATTAAAGACAATTAGGATCATGCAATCAGCAATTGATCATTTAAAGAACAAAAGCATCTTCCCATCTGTGTTAGTTAATTCGGTCAATTTAACACGTTTGAAATGAAACAGTTTTGCCAACACAGACTGTGTTTATGATTTTCTAAACTTATACTACTTTTGACCTTTATGATTAAAATCTAATTAAAAAATGTGGTTATTTTTAAAAGGTAGAGATGGTGTAATTGTCTCATCTATTAAAGTTATGACTAATTGTTAACCTTCTTAACTTGCTGATTCACTGCCATGCCTTTCATTTCAACCTTTTTCAAAGCAAAGTCCAAAATATTCAGATTGCAAAACAAACTGCTGGAAAAAAAAGTGAAATTCACTTTCATTGTGTGATCAAAGTAATTTGAAAGATTTTTAGATTTGTGAGTCTAACTTCCTAAAACTATGAATTAACTCCATCTTTGATTCAGTTACTCAACTTTTAAATTTAAATTAATTGACCAAGACATAGATCCAGTGACTTCTATGTACCTATCCTGACCCCAGGTCCCATGAGGTTATTTTAAAAGAATTATAAAACATGGCCTATACTTAATGACTTGCAATCCAGTTGGGGAAAATAAAATGGTGAACTCAAATGTAGTGATGACATAAGAGAGATCTGCCTCTTTCCAGAAACAGAACTTAATGATAGATAAATGAAGAAAATCACACATTCAGATGACAATCTACCACTAACTACCATGAGGATTTTCCCAGTATTCTTCCCTTGTACTGACTGGCCTTCCCTGACAGGGTAAGAAGAATATTTAGCAACTATTGAATAACTGCCTCTCTGCTATTCCCTTGAGTCATAAAGTTGCCCATGTGAGACACAGCCATCACAGAAATTCCAACTCATATTTGATCCCAGATTTCATTCTTGAGACTTGGTTTGGACCTCCTGTCTGCACCCACCATGTTCTCTGTCCATGGTCCTCAGAATAAATCTCACATCTGTTCTGAAAAGCCATTAGGGATCCTTGTCAATCTTAGATTCAAGTTCTTCAAGAGTGATGGTTCAGTGTCTCTTTGAGTTGCTTCCCAAGGAGTCTCCAACGTTAATTCTTTTTATCATATGTAACCATATTTGAAATTAGATCGCTTCAAAGATATTGTGCTAATTTAGTAAAATGCTTCAGACATACTCAAAGCATTTACAAATGCAATTTTACTTATCTTACTTCATAAGCTGTAGAAGGCATTTAAGGACTAAGGCTTTTTGAAGTAGGGTTGGCTTCCAAAAAAATCAGGAAAGAATGTGGATTATCATTTTTAAGTGGGACTGCTTTCAGAAAAAAAAATCTTAAATTGATGTCAAAACAAAACAGATAAATTAGAATTGCTTTGTTGCCATTTAAAATACCATCCACTTTGCCTTCAACTCCTTGGCTCCGAAGCTCCATTCCTAGACCCCAGTATACCAGTGTATACCCTAGAACTCTCTGGACCCCTTACATATTCTCTCTTTTGTTGTTGTTGTTGTTGTTGTTTGGTTTGGTTTGGTTCCAGGGATCGAACTCAGGACCTTGCGCTTGTAAGGCAGGCGGTGGCACCACTGAGCTAAATCCCTGGCCCATATTCTCTCTTAATCTCAATCTCTTCTCTCTCTTTCTTCCTGCCTGCCTCACATCCCTTCTATCATTAAATACATTCTTTCCCTTTTCAAACAACCATCATTACCCCAGATTTCTCTCTCCAGAGATAGAAGGTAAAGTTAAGCTCGTCAAAAAGACTTTGATCATTTTTTCTTTATTTTTTAACGCAACTCCTTATACAGCATGTGAGGATTAAATGTTCCAAACCTTAAAAAAAAAAAAAGAGCTAACTCCCCTTCCATTCAAAAAGGAAAGGAAAAAACAAGAGCATCAATCCTTAAGCAGAATCTGTAAACTTATAGCAAAGTGCTTAGTAATGCTTTTTTCTCATCTGTTTGATCCAAAAATTTCAATGTAAATTTTAGGATTATGGGAGAAAGTTCATATTTTCAGAAAACTGAGCCCCACTTCCTACATTTAGATCCCTCATGCAGACACTCTGTATGTTGGAAATATTTTCCTTGAAGCACAGAGCCTTAATTCTTTCATTTACTTGAAGATGTGGTTACGTACTTTCCCCACCTACTGCTTTTTCACCATCTGAGTACATCAAAATAGAGACTCCAATAATAATAAACAAGTATGATTGTCCATCATCCTATACCTCCTACAGGTCTACCTGTCCCTCTTCACCCACTTGGGTAGGATTTGAATTAAGGAAGTGATTTTTAAGTCAGTGAGCATCATTTATTGCTTCTTTGGGGACCATCCCAAGATGACTTGTGTACCTCAACCAAGCTATGCTGGAATATCTGAGAGATGTTTTTCCTCTTCAAACCTAAACTAAGTGTTTAAAAAGGAACAGAGACCTTTGTAGGGGAAAAAAACAAAACAAAACAAAACTAGGGTCCAAAGAATGGGTAAACATTCCAGAGAGGTTCTTGTGTTTTGCCCATCCCAACAAACTGCATTCTTGTAAGAATAGTCCCGAAGTGAGTCACAACAACAAAGAAAATAGAGATTTCTCAATGTGACACAGGAAGAATTTTTTAAAATTTTAATTTGCATGTTGTTTATATTTTCAAGCAGGAATGGGAAGAAAGGGGTTTCACTCTCATTGAGTATATCCAGTCATGAGTTCTTTTTAAACTTTTCTGTTTGCCCAATTCCCTTAGCAGTGAATATTTGGAATGGGGAAATATGACTAAATTTCCCTTCCTTTCATCTCACTTACTCTTTCATCCATCTTTTCCGACAAGCTATGAGTAGATTTTTGTCGGTGTTGGTTCCAAACTTCAGTTCTAACCACATCACTCCCTACCTTGGAAATTCCAAGTTTCCATCTTTTCAAAATTCTTCTTAACCCTTCCCCATTTTCTGCTCATATTATAACCTCTATTACTTCACTTGCATGTTACCACCTCTGCTAACATCCTCTGTGTGCCCTTTCTCTCTTTCTAAGACAATATTTTTCTAAAATGTCTCACTCCTATCTACTTTCATATGTGCTTTTTCTGTTACCTAGAATCATCTTTAGAGGAATGCCTTTGCCGTTGGTTATTATATTTTGAACATTATTCACCAACACTTGCCTAAATCATAACATACTGCCTTTTATATATAGGGGTCCTATAACTCTTTAATAAATCATATTTCTCTTTGTTTCTGCAAGTTTTATTACCAGTTGTGTTTCCTTGGGTGGAGGATTATGAAAGCTCTGACTATGTGTTCTGGCCTCATCCTGCTGCCCAAATCACAGTGTGATGAGCACATTTGACACAGGAGAGTGAGGTGTGGATTTCTAGAGGCCAGGAAAGGACAGAAAGGGAGTCTTCAAGCTAGTCAGATATGAATGGATAAGAAAGTATACAGAGACATTAGACAGAGAAGCAGACAGACAATATGAAAGCAATGTAGTGGTGAAGTGGTCACGTCCAAAATTATCATCATTTCCAGTTTTATTTTAGTCAAATTATTTCTACCAGAATTACAGCATGAAACAGGGACTATTGCATCAGGCAGGAAACTCTGTTGTGATATCCAGCCTTGGAGCACTGGACTAGAGGAACTGCCGGAGGAGAAGTGTAAGTTGAGAGAAATTCCAGGTCACTCCCAGAAGAAAACTCAAGACGGTCTCATAGATCATGTGGGATGGGTGGGATTGGAACTTTCATTTATTTAAATACTTCTTGGGTCAGTATCAGTCATGGATATGGGATGAGACTGTCACTATACATAAGAATATCAGCAAGTCCAGCTTTGGAACCAAGAAACCCAGAGGGAAGGAAAATGAGAGTAAGACTGATCGTCACTCTGATTAAGAGTTGTTTCATTCCTGTGCTTTCTTCTACTTCCTAATCTGTGAAATAGAGAGAGTAGAGTTTCCCCTTTGACTCAGGTTATTTTGAAATTCAAATGAGAAGAATGTGAAGAGCCAGTGAAAGCCAAAAAGTAAACTATTATTGTTGTTGCCATTATCGTCCCTGTTTTGGATTGAAAGTTACCAATTTCAGTCTAGAAGTTAATATGCCACCAAATATTATTGCATAGAACCTTAAAGAATGGTCAAGTTGTTGCTGCTGATTTTTGAAGCAACTATTTGGAGATTGAGCTAGCATGCTTAAGACTCCTGTGGTATTTGTAGAAGAGCTACACTTGCCACTATAAAAGTGCTCTCTTCTATGTGCTTAGTCCTAAGAATCTTATGTCTTTCTTATTTCCATCTCACAAAAACTCTGATTTGTAGCTATTTTTATACACACTTATCAAGGTACAGAGGTCAATCTGTTTATCCAAGGTTATGCTATGTATTTTATTCCAGGACTGCCTGATTTCGATGATAATTCTGTGCCCACTAATGCAAATCTTTTCAAAGCTCCATTATTTAACAGAAAACCTTTTTTGAGGAGTGTAACACAGAAATCCAATATTTAAAAAGCGGAGCTGGTCTTTTGAGGGAAGAATGAATGGGATGAAAAGATCTCACCCATTTATCTTGTCCTCCCCATGGCTTCCACCCCGAATATTATATCCCTAGAAATACCTCCAGTAGTCCCTTGGAGTTCAGGGATAGAGTTTGGAAATATCTACTTCACTACGCATCCTTGCCCACTTTTTAACATAATTTGTCTGCCAAAGACTGAAATATAAGTATCATCCATGTGGATTAAGAGGGTTGCGTGTTTTAAGGAGCAGAAATGCTATTTAACCAGTGCTGCAGTGATTTGTTTGGAAGTTTCTTCTTTTTTAAATCAGCTCCAATGTTATTCTTTGTGGGTCACTTCAGAAGCTCTTACTCAGGACCTGTCATGAGCAAAGTATGAATTAGGATGATTATTCCTTTTGGACATTTCCTATGAAATGAGTTAAAGAGAAGAAAAACTGGTGTGTTATGTAGTTAAAAAGAGTACTAGAATACAAATTCAAGCCCGGGCTACCACTTACTGGTATGCAGTGTTAATAAAATTACCACTATGTGGAGACTGCTTTCTCATTTGTGAAACCAGGTTGTTGGATCACATATGCTCCAAAGTTGTTTTTCTCCTATTTTTATAGCCTTCTAAATCTCCAGGCTTCTTCGTTCCTACTTCCCAGGCTAGTTCTCTGTCTCAGCCAAACTACTTTAATGCCGAAACTAGTTTTCTTCTTTCTTTTGTCTATTCTTTGCTATCTACAGCCCTGTCAGGTGGTGCGCTGGTAAACACTTGATAGTCTGACTGACAGTGATTTCTGACTTTAACGGTGTAAATGACCACTACAGCTAATGTGTAGCTATCAGTGTGAAATTGCTGAACGCAAGGTAATGCATTGTTATATATGGTATTTCCACTGCATGGACACAATAGATACAGATGGCCTAAAGAACATAGGTAATAATAAAGTGAAACAAAATAATAAGGAAGTGATAAGTGTTGAGTATATTTTTTACCTTTGCCATAAATGTAATCTATGTAAATTTATATAATTTAACTTTTAGTGATAATTCATTGTGCTAGTCAGCTTTCTGTTACTAACACAATCACCAGAGATAAGCAATTTTCAAAAAGCAAAGGCTTATTTTGACTCATGCCTTCAGAGGTTCCAGCCTATGATCAGTTGGCCACACCACTTTTAGGTCTGTGATGGTACCTCATGGTGAGTGTGCATGGTGTGACAAAATCACCACAGGCAGCAAGACAGAAAATGGGGCAGAGACTTCAAAAGCACACTCTTAATGACCAAAAGACCTCCCGCCCTATTTGTTCAAATTTTCACCATCTCCTAATAGTGCCAAGCTGGGACTAAGGTTCAAGCCATTATCACATGAGCTTTTGAGACATTCCAGGTTCACCCTATAGCACTACCATCTCTCTCTCTTTCTCTCTCTCTCTCTCTCTCTCTCTCTCACACACACACACACACACACACACACACACACTTCTTTCTCCAATTGGATAATTCTACTAGGCCACTTACACAAAATGATAATATAAATCCATAAATATTTTTGAAGTGGGAAAAAGTTACTTAATCAACATAGAGGGATTGAAGACCCAAAGCTCCATCCACTTGGTTTTAAAGCTCCACAATGCTCAATAATTTGATGGAAAATTAATTTGAGCCCAAAAGTGCCCACTATAAAAACACTAGTTGCACCTGTGTTAGTTCTATTTCATTAAAATAAAATCATGACAACAAAGAAGGATATTTTGGGCATTTTTGCATTCCTGGACATTTTCTAATTATTTATGCAGCTGTTCACAGAATAGTGCAGATATCACTGAAAAAATAAATGCTATGAATTAAAAAAAATAAATCTGGAGGTGGTGATAGAAGTATTACTTTTGAGACTGTCACTTTTTCAGCTTTAGTTTTTATTGTTGTTGGACACAATTATAGTAACAAGCTTACTCAAACTTAAGTAAGTGTGTGACATGCAATGCTACCGACAAAATCAGGCTCATGTGGGTAAGTGAGATATTCAAAATTGCACCCTGATTTCAACAAAGTAAAAGATGTTGCCGAAAACAAATACATCGAAAAAAATAATACAGGAGCCACTACCTCACATTCAGTCACTTTGCATGATTAAAACTGATCTTGAAATTTCACTTGGAAAAATATAATCGTTTTCTATCCTTGGTTACCTACATAGATAGGTATCAAAAAAGATTATAGGTTGAACAAGAGAAAAATATCCACATTTGCAAAATAAAAAAAGAGAGAGGTAGATTTCTATGTAAATGAGCAAACAACCATCTCAAACACTTAAAATGGATTTTGATAAAGAACCATTAAGTAAAGAATAAATGACAATCATGTAACACTGTAAAAAGGCCTTGAATAGTAACAGAGGCCCATGGGAAGTGTACTCTAACTATATTGACAAATATTCTTTGACTAAAATATTAAAAACATTTTCTTAGGACTCCAATTAAAGGATGTTTGCTTATGTTAATAAACTTCCTAAGGTTCCTGTGGACACTGTTTGAAGTGATTTTTAGTTGAGTGCAACTAAGGACAGGTGTACAATACAGGACTAGACCTTTTCCAGGGCACCTACTTGCCCATGTGGAGGATGGAGGCAGGTGTGATCCATGTTTGGTCCCAGGATTTCTTCCTTTCTTTTAAGCAAAATGGAAGCTGACAGTAGGAAGAACTCACGGAAACATGATTTTTCAATCGTGCTTAGAATGTAAAATAGGAAGCTAGATAGATGTTTTTGAGAGACGGATAAAAGAAAGTATGTGTAAGACTACATCAAGGCAGATCAACAGGGAGGCAGGTGTATAATAGACAGAAGTGGGTTTTGGTGTTGGTTAGACCTGGATTCAAGTTACTAGCTTCATCAGTTACTAATGGAATGATGCTGGGTAGTTAACTCATCTTTCTTGCTTTCAGTTTCCTTGTCTACCCAAAGAAGAGGTTAATGTCACCTGCATCCCACGACTATTATGAGGAGTCCATGCAATTATGAATTCCCCGAGAGATGGGTCCTTAAGAAGATAAAAGAAGTGGTATAACAATCTTCCACTAACCATTTTCATAAAATCCATGGCTATGATGTAATCACCCTGGAATTAGATTGAAAAAATTACTTGAGCTAGATTGTATACAGTACTGTGTCATTCTGCAAAGAACGGGACGGTTGAAAGTGGTTAAGAGCAATAGTCTGGAACTAAAAATGGAAAGATTGGGAAAGATATTAAAAACAAACCAGCCACAACCACCTCCCAAGTCGTAACAAGAATTGGGCAATGGAAGTGAGGCCTGAGTCACCGTCAAACAGAAGATTCAACGATAGGTCAGCAAGTAGATGGAACCATGCTGGAATGACCAGATGCAGACTGCCTGAGGTTGATGGTATGAAATGGTTTTTCCAATCTCAATCCAGTTTATTTTTATCTTCCTCATGAAATGTAAAATAATTCACATGACAATTTGATTGAGACCTTATGGGTACCATTTCCATTGTGCAAGACAGGAACATTTAGGGTAGGGAGATTTTGCCAAATGGTAACGGGAGATGGCCAGTGTCAGTGAGTGTCAAGCAGAAGGTTGAGCAACAATTCAGTGAATTGGGGAGAAGAGGCCACCAGTGTATATCATCCCAAATCAAAAGGTTTCATTATCATCATTAGAGTTTCCTCTTATTTGTGTTATTCAGGGACTTAATGAAGAAAGAAATAATAAAAGCCCCCAAATCAGAGTATTTGATCCCTGCCCTGCCTCTGTGGTCTGTAATGTGAGTTAACCCATTAGGGGTATCTGTTCATATATTAACAAACCCTACACACCTCTCAGATGCCCCCAATGCTTCTCTGCTTCTAGAGAAATTCCTGAAAGCTATAGGATATCACGAAAGTGTATACATGTAGCTAACAAGTAACTAGCTCCTGTCCTTCTGGATTACTATATGGTATCTATGGAAACCTAGATAAGATTTTAAAACCTCTAGGGCTGGAGGTGTGGCTCAGTGGTAACTTGCGTGAAACCCTGGGTTCAATTCCTAACACTGCCAAAAAAAAAAAAAATCTCTAAAAAATTCTAAAGTCCAATGTAGACTCAGTTTTGCTCAATCTGTTCCTAATTTTGCTTTGCCTTTGGAGGACTGTTAAGGGTTTTATAAAGGACTGTCATTATAGTGCTGTCCAGCTCAGGCAGTTTAAGTCTCAACTGTATGGTAATAAGTGGGAACAGAGTTGTGAAAAATCAGTCCCTCCCATCAGTTCCCAGGTACAGACCGTACTGTTGTCAGGCAATTCATAATCTCGTGTGCACATCTGTGTTTGTTTAGTATTTGAGTATGCTCGAATGTGCTTTTACAACTGGCTATCTATAAATCTCCATCCATTAGGTGGCCTGGACCTTCATAAGAGGATACAAAGACCTAATGAAGAAAACGTTTTGATAATAGTTCTCTTCTTATAGAAAGTATCTCTCCACCACCATCACCACCACCCTCAACACTCACCAATGAGCTCAAAGCAATTTTCATGAAAATAACAGCACATCTATGAGGTAGGTAGTCGGCTCGAATCAGTAGCTCTATATTTTATAGATGGGTAGTTGGGCCTCCAGCCAGCATGGCAGAGCCTTTAAGGGACAAAATCCAAAACTTTCAAGCCAGCAAAGCTTACTTGTTCTCCACAGTCACTTACTGGTGTACAAGCCAAATAAAAGTTGAACTTGGGTCAACTGCAGGGAAATGAGTGCTTAACTTGGAAAATGTATTTCCAATGAATTTCTATTTCCTTTCTCAGGTATATGTTTGCAATGCTGTCATAATAATAGTATCATGGAGTCTCCCTTTACCTCTCAGAAACAGGGAAATATTTTTGTATATGGTAACGAGACAAGGTCTGAGAAATTAACCACAAAAATGTGAGAACACCAATTCAACTGTCAAATTCACATTTTCAAGGAAGGTGGTAGACACATTTTATACAGTATATCTGATAATGTTCACCACTGATGTATAACTGTGTGTGTGTTTTCCATATAGGAAGAAATAGATTAAGGTATGAAAAAGAGTTATATTTGACCCAAGAAAAGTACTTTGAATAATAGAGTGAAACATCTCGAGAATAATTTATCAAGAAAGTTTGCCCCTAAAATTTGCAGGGCAAAAGAGATTTTATTTTCTTTTATTTTCATCAGTAAAACCATACAAAAGGATAACAGGGTACACCCAAATACAAGTCTATCCACATATCCACCAAACACCATGCAAATTAACAAGCAGAGTAAGCAAAATCCATGCTTGTTGCGTAACTAGACAATAAAAATGATATTGACTTCCACTTTTATGTAAGTAGGTAAATATACCTTGAAATCAGTAGTGAAAGATTCAGAGACATCTGAAGAATGAAGTGAGGACTGTGTGATAAACAAGAAAATGTAATGGGAGAAAACAATATCACTCACAAAATGAGAAGGACTCCTATAGAAAGAAAATATAGAGAACAAGCCTGATACCTGAAAGTGCTTAGTTGCTTAGTTCCAGAGATAATCCTGCTGGGACAGCAGTACTTCTATGGGAGAGGGAGGTCCAGGACAGGAAAAAGCTTAGGATCTATCAGGAGATGACAACAAAGGAAGAGATGAAGTCCGGCCTAATGAAAAGCATGCAAATGGGAACCTGGGATTTAGCTCAGTGGTTCCATTGCCTGCCTCAAAAGCACAAGGTCCTGAGTTTGATCCTCAGTGCCAAAAAGAAAAGAAACGCATGCAAATGGAATAGCACGCTATTTCAGCAGGATGGTATGATGACTAGTCTTGCCTGTCAATTTGATTTACTTAAGAGTTTTTCAAGGTGATTAATAAAGCATGTTTCTGGGCATGTCTGTGTGGGTCATGGAGCCGTGATCTTGGCGGGGGGCGGGGGGGGGCGGTATATCTTCTCCATGGCCCTTTCCTCTTAGATCTGCTGCCCCTGTATTCTGTCTGTCATGAAATGAGCAGGTTCTACCATGATGTTTCTGCCTTGGAGCTAGCCGACCATGGACTGAAACCCTGAAACTTTGAGCCAAAATGAACTTCTCCTCCTTTAAGTTATAAGTTTCAAGTATTTTGTCCTAGTGACAGGAAAGCTGACGGATAAAAAAAATTGGTTCCAAGAATGGGGTCTTTGCTATGACTACACCTAACCATGTGGTTCAAAAGCTTTTGGATCTGGTTTGCAAGAGGAGTTTGGAAAAATTTAGAGAAGTAAACTACAGAAAGCCTAAAATGATGTTAGCAGAGCCAGTGCATGCTTCTGGTCAAAGGTCAAAATGCTGATAGGAATGCAACAGTAAAGGCTAGGCTCATGAGATTTCATATGAGAACAAGGACTGTTTTGGAAAATAGACTAGAAGCCACAAATGTTACATTTTGGCACAGAAGTCTACATTATGTCCAGGTCTTAAGACTGTGTGTGGCTGAATTAAAAGGTGGCAAACCAATTTATCTGGGCGATGAAATTTCAAGCACAATGTTTAGATTGTGGCATGGGTTCAGCTGGCTGTTTATACCCAGACTTATATTGAGAATCAGCAGCAAAAGCAGGACAGAAAGATGTGAAAAACTTTCAATTTCACCAGAGAAGAGTCACACATGTAAAGCTGGGAACAAAGGAGATGTGGTGGCTGGTGAGATTAACACATTAAAAAAAAAAGTATTGTGAACTTGGAAAAGCAGAAAGATGCCTTGAGAGCATCTCAGAAATCAGCAAGACCCCACCCATTGCAGGCTCAAAGGTATAAGCTGCAAATCTATCATTTGAGAAGTGAGCCATGGGGCTCCAGGCAAGAGAAGACACACCTAGGAAATTGGCTCCCTGGAACTGATTTCACTGTGCTCATCCAGCCAAGCACTCCAGAGCCACTGCAGCAGTGGTCCAATGGAAGCTGATTACTGCTCAGTGGCCTTGGTGTTGTCCATGTGACACTGGTTGTGCAGTTACGCACAATGCAAGAGTCACGAGGTCATGAGGGCTTCCACACAGACCTTTCAAAGAAAGGTCTGGGAGGCCAGACAATACGTCAGAAGGTCACAGTCCCTGCTGGGAGGCACTAAGTATGTGTTATGTTGAGTTTGGGGAGTGAGTGAGGCTGAAGTTGCAAGGGAGACCCCATGAAGTTGGAGATGCCAGGAACATGGGACGTCTGCTGAGGGAAGCCACAGACAGTGAGCAGATCAAGCCTAAGAGAGAAGCCAGGTGGGCTTCAAAAAGCAGCCCATAGTTGTGGGGTTCCCTAAGTCCTCCGGTACTCACATATCACCATCATGTGTCCTAGATGCCAGACACGAAACTACAGAATTAAATGTTTTCCTTTCTGGGTTTCAGTATTGTTTCAGCCCTATTGTTTTCTATCCCTCCATTCTTCCCTTTCGGAATAGATATATTTACATTGTGTCATTGTATCTTGGGATAATGTGACTTGCTTTTTGATTGTTAGAATGGCTCACAGCTAAGACTTTGCCTTAAGTTTCAGAGGAAACTTTGAGCTTGGATCTTTTAACAATGCTTGAACTTTTGATACTTTAGGGAAGGGATCAGTACATTTTCAGGATTGTTATATTATGTTAAGTGGAATTATGGCATTGTTACTGGAGAATATGTATGGTTTAAGGATGTAATTTGATGCAATGTTGGTTAATCTTGATTGGTTTAGTGGTCAACTTGGTTGGCTTGATTATTAAAGCACACTTCTGGATGTATCTTAGTGTGCCAGGGAAGCATGACCTTAGGGTAATATATCTGGTATCTGGCCCCTTCTTCCCAGGTGTTCTTCCCCTCTTCTCTGCTTCCTGGCTACCATGAAACGAGCAGCTATGTTCCACTGTAGCCTTCCACCATGACATTCCTGTCTTCGAGCAAGCCAACCATAGACCGAAACCTCTGAGACTGTAGGTCAAAATAAACCTCTCCTCCCTTAAATTGTAGGTGTCAGGTATTTTTGTCTTAGCAATGGAAAAGCTGATCAATATAAATTGGGTACCAAGTACATTCTAAGCAACTGGGTAGAAAAGATATTCTACATTAAACTATTGTACATTAATGCCATGGGTGGCTCATGTGTGTTTTATCTACAGCAAACCTTGCACAGCAGTGTTAAAAAGTAATCCTATTTTCTTTTCTCCTTTTTACCTACCACAGTGTTGGGGATATTAGAAATTCAAAAGATGCTCCTAAATAGGTGATTTGATAGGAAGTTGATATATGATATTTGATAGGAAGTTGCATATAAATATACAATCATTGATGTCACTTCAAAAGAATAGCAGGTATAAGGGAATCCATTCATTATCCTCCAGGTTTATTTGTGGGGTTGGTAGAAAACTATCACTAAGACACAGGATAAGCAGCATCTTTAAGATCATATAGAAAAAATTGGATAGATTTTTGAACAACATGGTCTGCCACCTTATGAATCAGATTGTCATTGTCTGTGATGATGACCTCAGAATTCTGCTGATAAAGAAAATAAAACACTTTGGGTTGATGTTCTTTCCTTAGAAAAAAGGAACTATGCTCCCAAATATTGCCAAATTGATGTTGACCTAAAATCAGAGAGAAGAAAACCCAGTGTACTTGGAGTATTTTGAAAAGACATTTCTAATTGTTTCTACCTTCTCCTGTCACTTCAAAATGCAAACCCATTTTGAAAAAAAATCATAAGAACACAAAGCACTGAGAGTTTTTACAAATTGCTCCTGGATACATATTGCCTAGAATTATGTGTTCTTTTAACAGATGTTTGACTTGTAGAAAGTTCTATTTTGCAAAAATCTTGGACTAGAGTTCAGTTTTATATATATATCACCTCCAAGCCAGCTGTTAGATAAACCTGGAACTTATTGGTGGTTTTATCACTTGTCATTACTCAGAGAATGGAAATGATATTCTGCAGACTCAATTGAGAGAATGATGAGAAATGCGTTCTTTTTCCTTTTCATTCCCCATCCACCACATCTAGAGTAAAGGAGTAAAGTATCCACCTTCAGTCAGGCTTTCCAACAGATTATAAAGATGAATCATCAAGTACATCATGGGTCAGAGCAAAGATAAGAGTTATTTGATGTTCTCCTCCAGAGTCTGAGACATGAAAATACGGCACTAATGGGTGGTGGCAATAATTTCGTACAAATTGAAAAGGCCAGTTCTCATCTATGTGAAATTTGGGGACATTGAATGGACTCATGGTGAAAGACAAAATGTCTCATCTCACTCAAATCCTTTAGCAAAGATAGAAACCATAAACAAAAAAAACAATAATGAAGTGAATGTCTAGTATGTATTGGTATGAGATATGATAGTTTCTTTTATATTATTTATATTATGTATCATTTCACTTAATCATTGCAATTAACTTTGTAAGATTAATATTATTTTCCAACAAGGAAGTTGAAACACAAGGAGGTAAAAGAATTTGTCCAAATTAGTCCTGAAAAATCAAGTCCAGGACTTTTTGACCTGACAATTCATGATCTTCATCATTATATTTTATGCAAAAAAAGAAAAAAAGCCACTCACAGAAATCCAAACACAAAATTATAGGATGAATAACTATAGAAAATAGTGGCAATGTGACTGAACAATGGTTAATATACTTAATATATAATAAATCCTTTATAATCCATAAATAAAAAATAAAATCAGTAATAAGAAAAATGAACTAGGAACCAAGAAAAGAAACAAATGCAAAAATAAGTAAAAAGTACTATAGTAAATTATCAAAAACACAATGGATTAGAAGACCATATATTCATTATCTCACGGTTCTGGAAACCAGAAATCTGAAATAGGTCTACAGGGATCTATTCTTTCTAAAGGAAATCTATGGCTTGCCTTTTCCAGATTCTAGAGAATATACATGTCCTTGGCTCATGGTCCCTTTCTCTGTCTCAAAAGCATAGTATCTTCTATCTGTTCTCTGCTTCCATCCTCACACATTCTGTCTGTAACATTTACCCTTCCATCATTCTCTTATAATAAGGATGCTTTGTCCACTCAGATAATCTGGTGATGTTCATCACCTAAAAACCTTAATTTAATCACATCTTCCAAATCCCTTTTATTGTATAAACTAACATATTTTTAAGTTCTGGGGATTAGGATACAGACAATTATGGGTGGGGATGTGATTCAACTTATTACAGTTATGACCAAACTTTCATTTAAAACCACAAAGAAATATCTTTTTTTCTGATTGAGTTGATAAGAGTACAGAAATGCCACAGCTACTGGTGGGCATACCAACTGGCAACTTTCTAACAGGTAATATGGCATTATATATCAAAGAACTTTAATTGCATTCTCCTGACTAGAATTTCAGTTTGTTGCAGGTGGTGATAAGAAAATCATCATAGATATTAGCCAAGGATGATAGTTTCAATGACCACACCCTAATTCATTTTAATGCATTATTTTCCATCCAGCACTACTCAAAGATGGTTTTTAAATCATATTGTAGAAAAATATTGAATATATGAAAATATTATTACATATGAGAAAAACTACAAGTGAATAGATTTACTTTCCTTTTAAAAGCACACTAACTAATAATATTTGAATAATTTCCATTGATTCTATACAGTATATCTAGCTTTTTAAATGAAGATGCAAAACTGTTCTATCAGTGCCAATTATCAGTGGTTCTTTAAATTTTTTTCATTAAGTTTATTGGTACATTTTAGGTATACAGTACAGTTACATTCATCATTGGGATCTTGTACCTTTACACAATCTATCTTGGTTCTTATTTTTGCCCATTTCCCTGCCCTCCCTTCATCCCCTCCACCCTTCCCTATTTACAGAGACTTTGTTTCCACTTTTTCCTTTTCTCATATTTTTTCATTTCCCTTCTTTCCTTTCCCCTACCCTTCCCACTTCTGAATAGTTTCTCTGGTGTGAAAAACTGAAAGTGTAAATAAGGTTCAAATGGTAGAGCTGATAATGTGAAATAGGAAGAAAAGGTCTATCAGTGCTTCTTTAGTTTGATGCCAACCAGGTAAAGCTCCAGATTTGCCAGGAAATAGGGAGAGGAATGAGATCACCTTCTAGTCCTAGCTGGCCTGAAGTTCTCTTCTTTTCCTCACTGTCAATAAAGTCTATGACACTTCATGAGGATAGAACGCTAGAAGCCAGGAAAACACAGTGGAAAGAGAGTGTTGAGTCAATGACCTAAATTGGAAAGCTGATTCAATTATTTATGGACTGTGTGATGCTGGACAATCTATTTAACTTATCAGACTCTTGGTTCATCATCCGCAGAGTGCTGATGGTGCTGAACTGCAGACTTTTGTGAGGAAGACATGAAACTAAGACACACACACACACACACACACACACAGACACATGCACACACACGGTCAGGCAGCTGAGATTCAAAGCCTGAATTTCTCCTTTACTAGTTATGTAGGTAAAGTGAGGATGATTTTACTCTCTGTCTCTGTTTCACCTACATGCAATAGAGCTAATACTAGACAAATACAGTAGATGCTATAAAACACTTTGGAGTTTAGCACAATGCCTATACCGTCTCACATAGTGAACACTAAAAAACAAATAATGGTTAATATAAGAGATTCAGTAAATTCTAAGAGTCTGCTATTTCCAAAGATCATATTACTATGCCAGCACGTTTTGACAGTCCTTGATTATCACATTGATGACAAAAATCTGGATAGTTATCTCTTCACTCCACTTTGGAATAAACCAAGTGCTTGAAAGCTTCATATTTATCAGACCTATGACAACTTTATATTGATGAGACATAAGATAAATATACATCTTTCATTCTCTACAACTCTTGGAAGTAGATGTTTGGGATATATGTTCCTAAATTGATTCCTTGTGGTAATAAGTCTAAAAACTTCTTTACTGAGATCACTGCAAGAATTTCTTAGATTTTAAAAAAGCAGGCCGCTGATCATCTTATCTAGAGTTCTCATGGTAAAGAATACTTTGGTTAATGGATTTATAAAGCGATAAAGCCACGTCTGCAACCCCTGAGGAGCACCAAGTCTTCTGAAGGAAGGAAAATCTATACAAATATCAAAAAAACAAAAACAAGAGTTACATCACAAAAACAGTATATTAATGTTTGAGGACAAATACAATAAGAAAACTGACGTGTTATTTGCATTGGATGTAGGACAATTTCAATTTCCTTGGTTAAAGGCTCTACTTAAAGACAATGGCCAAAAGTCCTTCTGCCTTGTCATCACCCTCTGTGAAGACCACTCTCTGAGGTTAATGTCAATGAAATCCCTTTTACTGTATTTCATTTGTGGTAATTTATTCTGCTGACCACTCTTTTTCTGTAAAAATTCTCTTTTGTGAATTCCATGACACCATTAATACATATTTATTATATAATATAATATACATAATATATAATGTATTGACTGGAAATCCCATCTCGATATCTGGATTGTCTTTCTCCTCTGATTCTCTAAGTATTGCTGTTCTACAAGGTTATGATCATTTCTTCTCATTCTACATTCTCTCTCAGAGACAGCCTCTATCAACCAAAATCAAAGCCAATGATTCAAATTTGTATCATTGAGCCAATCATTTCATTCCAATACTACAACTACATTTCTATCTACTGCCTGTCTCCAACTGGAATTCCCTACATATCCAAGTTCAATTTTTTCAAGACAAAACACATCATTCATAATATTCCCATATATATCTTCCTATCTTAAGAGTTTGGTTATTAATTTAATCCTCCATACAGTCATATAAACCAAGTTCTTAAGAGTCACCTGAGATTTTTTTCCCTCTTCCTTGCCACCTGTAACTAATAGCCAGTACTTCTTTAAAAACTATTACTCTAATTGCCTTCCTCTCCTTAGTCATTGCCAATGCTTTAGTTCATGAACGCATTGTTTAGTGAAACTATGATAACTTCTTAAGCCTGCCTTCTTCTCTATTTGCTCCCAAAATATTTCTTTTCATTCTCATTCT